AATTCACAGAGCTGCTCTGTGAAGAGGGTGCACAGACAGGGAGCATGCTTTCCGTGGAGCCCTGGGGAACCCTGTTAGAGACCTGTCTCTGAGGACGAGGCTGGGCCCTGTCTCCATAGCCTCAGCTCCGGGGAACCATGGGACCTCTCTCCTCCTGCTTGCTCTACCTCCATCTTTCTCTCCAATCCTGCTCCTCCCACCCCACCTTGTGGCATCTTCCCCAACTCCCTGGAGATTAATGTGATAATTGCCATGTGTGCCTGTTTACAGAGAGAGTGGGTGAGCTCACCACCCCCATCAGTCAGGTTCCCAAAGGAATACATTCCTACAATGTCAGGACTGGTACCTGCTGAGCGCTCCTGTGCAGGTGGGCCACCGCCCCCAAACTGCTTTCTCTGTCATCACCCTCATCATGTGCACGTGTGCATGTGTGTGTCACTCAGGGGATCGGCAGGTGAGGAAGATGGAGAGCAGCCAGCATGCCAGTCTAGGGGAGGGCTGGGCGGGGAGGATGTTGGGAGATGGGAGGAGCCTCAGTGCCCCATGTAAGAGGACAGAGGCCAAACAGAAGTGCTCTTCTGTGATGCCTGACTTATGGTAGGTGTTCCATGAGTGGCGTGGGATGGAGGGGCTGGCATTCTCTGGGCAGCATTCTTTGCAGGCAGGTCCCTGGTTTCCCTTAGCTGCTCCACAGTAGAGTTCTGGGTTGTGAAGGTTCTTCTGGGGTCAGGATCTTGATTGGAGTATTTAGCATGGCTGTCCGGTGTTCCTGAAGGAAGAGTTGCTGTCACTGGGGAAAATAGAGTGCAAGTCTCACATGAAAGGAGCTTGCGATAACTGCCACTGTGTCACAAGTGGGAATGCTGTAGAGAGAGAATGAGTGATTCTCCATCTCACAGGCAACCCTTCTCTCTTGCACCTCCTGCTGAGACAGACACGTGCGTACCACAAGCGAGAAAACAGTCACAACTCTGCTGTTGAACTGGCAACTTCACCCCGACCCCTGCTTCACGTGCTTTCTGGGCACTTGCTGCCTTGAGCTGTCGAATGCTGCTGCTTTTCTCATCTCAAAGGACACTTGAGTCGTCTCTCCTACACTGGACAATTTTGTTTCAATCTCCTTTGATGAATCAGAAGGAGATTGAAGCCCTAACTGGCATCAGAAAGAACCTTGCCATTTTGAAGGAGGAAGCGTGCATTTCTTCTCTTGCCTGCTTCCTGCTGAGGTCTGTCCCTTCGTCCTACTGGGTGTGTCACTGACCCATAGACAGGCATGCACGGAGAGTGGAGGCCGCCTGGACAGGAAGGATGGAACAGGAGGGAGAGGAGCAAGGTGTTGGGGTGGAGGGGGGCAAGCCTATTAAAAGGCGTGTGAATAATCTAGGGGAGTTGTCAAGCTGCTTTCTCCAGAAGAATCTTTAAAGCTGTCAGTCATCTTCAGAACCCCCAGGGCCTTGCTGGTGCTGGTGTCTTCCCAGCTATTCTATTTCTCCTTCTAGTTCCCATCCCGTTTTTGCATCCAGCAGGCCCCAACACCATGGTGGGTGACGTTTGCAGCAATTCAGTGAAATCTCTACAGATTGAGAGGGGGCTATCAGAATGAATTGTATTGGCGTATTTTTAAGAGGAGAATCTTCTTATTAGAATTGTGGACATTTTTTGATTAGTCAACTGTCTATGTGGGCCAAACCCTTTGTTAGGTGCCAGATACAGAAATGAGCAGACAGTTAAGGTTTCTGCCTGAATATAGGTTGAAGCAAAACCAAAACATACTCACAAAATGCTGATTTAAAAGACAGTGCTCGTCACTGGTGTTTGATTCATTCCAGGTTCTGGCCCACTTTAGTTCCTACCTTTCATAGACTGGATTCCTTGATGTGTTACTAGATTTTCTCTGAAAATGAGGATTCCATGGTCAGAAGCGATTATGAAATGATAGAATAAACAAGGTAAATAACGTTTTTTTGTGTGTGTGGATCTTCTCACAGGCACAGAAGAAAATATAATCTGCTGTGTTTCCCAGATTGTTTTGGTTACAGAAGTCCCTTTTCCACAAAACACATTAACTTCTTACAAATCTCTAGCAGTGAGAACAATGTCATTTTGGCCATCCTCCTTAACAGCATCCCTTGTGAGCAGTCACCCAGCTCTCAGCCACTCTCAAACTGTAGCTCAATTATTTGAGAACAAAAATGTTTTAACAGTCACAATTTCATCATTGCTGTTGCTGATACCTGCTAATGTTTATGGGCAACCAAGTCCTATCTGGGTGCTCGGTGTAGACTCGGTTTTTGTTGCCAAGGAATGTTGGGGGTAGTGGTGGGGTTTGGCCACTGACTAAGCCATAGAGTGAATAAACCCTGTTAATCCGCAGCTCTACGGGTGAACTATCAAAGCTAGCCAGCCTTATGGAAGGATTGATTTATAATCATGACTAAACCCAGAGCTAGCTATGCAAAGATCATTGCAGTTCATTTTTTCAGCTCATGGGGAAGGTCCATGTCTTAACTATCTCAGAGAAAACGGCTCCCTACCTCCATTAAAACCCTCAACAATTCTTGGCATCTAGTTCTTCTGCATCTTTCTACTAATATGCAGGAACAGTTTCCTCTGAGGTCTGGCCCATGTCTTCCCTGATTGCATTTAACTGACGAGACCTGATTGAACCAGGGAGCTCCATCTTACACACTGAAATTGTCAGGTTCCTGCATCTGTTTCTTCCCATTCAGAAAGTGTTTTGTTTATTTTTAATTTGTATTCTGCTTCAGTTGCAGTGATCTCTCTCTAAATAACGTAGGGGCAAAACAAAAGACACAAGTTTGGTGAAAGGAGATTGCCTTAGAAGCTGTTTTAGTAAAACAGAACTAGCATTCAACGCAGCAATTCCATTACTGGGTTTGATTACAGCCCAAAGGAATGTAAATTATTCTGTTATACAAGCACGTATGTTTACTGCAGCACTATTCCTGAGAGCAGAGACATGGAATCAACCTAAATGCCCATCAGGGACAGAATGGTTAAAGAAAATGTGGTACGTATACACCGTGGAACACTATACAGCCATAAAAAAGAATGAGAACATGTTCATTGCAGGAACATGGATGGAGCTGGAGGCCATTATCTTTAGCAAAGCAACACAGGAATAGAAAACCAAATACTGCATGTCCTCACTTATAAGTGGGGGCTAAATGATGAGAACACATGGTCTCAGAGACAGGAACAGCACACTGGAGCCTTTTGGAGGGTGAAGGATGGGAGGAGGAAGAGGATCAAGAAGCTATTGGGTACTAGGCTTAATACCTGAGTGATGAAATAATATGTATAACAAACCCCTGTGACGTGAGTTTCCTATATAACTAACCTGCACATGTACCCCTGAACTTAAAAGTTAAAGAAGCTGTTTTTACTGGGTGACTACAGTGATAGGTGCCATGACTGGTATATTTGAATGGGAGGCGGAGAGAAATGAGATAATTTGGGAGAAAACAAGAATGTCACAGAAGTCCACAGGAAGCGTGAAGACAGTGAATCAAAATATGTTTTTAAAATTTAGTAGTGAGAGGGGAAGAGGTAAATTAGAGGGACAAGAAATATTTTGCCATAGAAATTCTGAGTTCCGATCTTAATTTTACTGGTTTAGCATGTGAGTTTTAGGCATGGCATTTGACTTTGGCCTTCTTTCTCTGGTGAAATAGAGATAAAATATCTGTTAAGTTTCAAATGGATCTTAAGTTTGTGTGTGAAAAAGTGGAGTTGGGACTGAGGGGATTTCAAGCGCTGCATATGTGAAATGCAATTCAGGAAGACTATTTAGAAAGACTTGGAGGTGCTGTCGGGGGAGGAGGAGTCAAGAACACTGAGAACCCATAGTTGAGTGGTGCAACTGCTAGAGGACTTCTCAAAATACTCCTAAGCTCTAGTTCAAGGTTCTAATAAGACATTCTGTTAAGAATCGCTTCCTTTGAGTCATGAGATATAATTCTTCCTCAATCCCTTTCCATGCAAGGGTCTTTTTTTTTTTGAGACGGAGTTTCGCTCTTGTTACCCAGGCTGGAGTGCAATGGTGTGATCTCAGCTCACCGCAACCTCCACCTCCTGGGTTCAGGCAATTCTCCTGCCTCAGCCTCCCGAGTAGCTGGGATTACAGGCACACGCCACCAGGCCCAGCTAATTTTTCTTATATATTTAGTAGAGATGGGGTTTCACCATGTTGACCTAGATGGTCTCAATCTCTTGACCTTGTGATCCACCCGCCTCAGCTTCCCAAAGTGCTGGGATTACAGGCTTGAGCCACCGCGCCCGGCCCATGCAAGGGTCTTGCATCTGATTCATGGTTCGAGAATCCAGAATATGAATTTGCAGGCATTTATTCATTCACTGAGTGTTAACATTAGAGAGAGTGCAAGCGATCACCCTTCAAATCTAGGTTTATTCCTTGTTCTGGCCAGAGCCTTGCTGGGACAAGGTCTGGGCCAGCTCTGTACTATTGCACTGTGATGGAAGAAAGCAAGCTGAGCCCGGGTCAAGGGCTGAGGAAGACGCAGAAGACCCTAAAATTTCTTCCCAACAACCCTGTCAAGGGCTTTGCTAGCCTCCATGGAATAGACTGGGCACAGCCTGCCTTTGTCTTATTGAGAATTTCCTCAATTTCATGTGCAAAGCCTTAGAACCCACATTCCCCAATGCTACAAAACCAGTGGTTGTTTGTGTGACCTTGGAAAAGTATCAGACCTTTCTGCATTGTCTTCCCGTGTGCTAAGCGAGCACGTGAGACTATTCCAACTCAGAATATTCTGGTGAGGCTGATGCTCTGTTCTTCACGTACATGGGAGGTTGTGAGCTAACTCATGGTAATACCAAACTGAGAATGGAGTGAGGCAGCGCTGAACTGTGTTACATTGCACTTGTCACGTCACCCTCTGTGTGAAGCTGCAGGAATGTAAGTTTTACTTATGGAAGATGGCTTTAAGTATTAAGGAACCATTTTTTCTTTCTTTCAGACCAATGATGCCTTAGGAGCCACCTGGAATTGGCTGTACTTCATCCCCCTCATCATCATCGGATCCTTCTTTGTTCTCAACCTAGTCCTGGGAGTGCTTTCCGGGTGAGCCAGATGATTCTCTGTTCTTAACTCATTTGCTGACTGCTAACTGTAAACTAATGCCTCCTGACTCATGCATATTCACTCATTTAACCTTCATTTAGAAGACACTTACCAAGCAGTTCCTCTGTGCCAAATGCTTTCTAGATGCTGGGAATGTGGTAGTGAACCGTCGTTCTAATAATCTTGATTATTCTCAGGAATTAAAACGTCTTGACATCAGAAACAACACTGAACTCAGTATCTAGTGAGCGTTCATTTATCATCCATGCTTTCATTCAGTAACTCAGCAGTCAGAGACAGATGTCAAACACTGTGCTGCTTTTTAGGGAAATAAAGTTGAATTAGACATAGGCTTTCTCTCAGAAGCTTCTTACTCTGTAGTGTATTGGGCTTCAAGTCTCATATTTGTGGCTTGAATTAGTTTATGCAAATCTGCAACTATTTGGTGTCCCATACCATGGTAAGCATCGCCAGGAGCACACAAAGTATAAGGTGTGGTTTCTTTCCTCAAGAGACATGTTTTGCCAAGAAGATGATACAAACGAGTGAAACAGAGAATGGGAGTCCTTTTATTGACTTAGACAAGGTATAGTCATTTGTTTTGTGGAAGAGTAGATCTGAAGTCATCAGGGATAGTTACATGAAGGATTGGGATTTTGCTTGGGTTATGAAATATGTAGTAGGATTACATAGACTAGATGGGAGTGAACATGTCAGGAAGGGGAACATCACACCACAAGCAAAGATGAAAAAATGGGACTTGTCACAGAGTGTGAAGAAATTATAATGTAACATCTTAGGATAGCTGAGATGGGGATATACTTTGTAGATTCTTAATTTTTCTAAGCAAAACTGAACTTTTTGTAAGAGTGGTGTACATTCTTCAAATGAAAATTTAGAAGGGGGCGCTTCTGTTCAAACACGGCAGATTGAACTGAGTTGATCATTTCCTGATCACTAACAGAGAAAATAAATTTTAAGACGAGAACAAGGACAAAGAGAACAAGAGGCATGATAAGAGATCAGCGATGTCAACAAAAGTTTTGAACATAAAGTTGGCGACTGACAGTGGTAGGAAAGCTGAAGTTTAATTGTTTAAAATGGGGAATACCAGTAAAAAAGCAAACTGCTTGTCTTGAGGAGCCCTAGAAAGGCTCAGGAATTAGACACCAGATAGGTCTGAGAGCTGGGGAAGACACGGTGCTGAAAACAAGATGAAGGATTGATGGAAGGTCCTTGTAAGGATTATTAGACTCCTGTTCCACCCCACTCTAACCTCCAGGCAGTTCTGAGAAATGTCTGCTTCACCCAACCCCACCCTAGCAAAAGTTAGGAGAATTAATCTCTAGATGTGAAATCAGAGAAGCTTGGAATGGTACGGTCAGGCACACTCGAGGCTGGTGTTGATATGTTCTACTGAAAAGAGTAGGGCTAAATGAAAGTACAAACTGAATGTGCATAGTCCAGCCCACTTCTCCTGCTTGACTCTTAAAAACATAGCAATCTGGTAGGAGTCGAGAGGATTCCTCTTTGGGGAAACTGTCTGTCTGAAGAGGAGGAACAGATTTTGTACTGATATCTGGGGAAGACCAGAGGAACAGATACTCACTTCATCACCTTTGGTGAGACTCACTGTATTCATTACCTATGGCTGCTGCAACTAATTACATAGCTCTGTGGCTTAAAACTGTGAGAGAAACTGTATTCATTTGCAGTTCTGGAAGGTATGGGTCCAAAATCCGGCAGGGCTGTTGATATGGTTTGGCTCTATCCCCACCCAAAGCTGATCTTGAATTGTAGCTCCTACAGTTACCAGGTGTTGTGGGAGAGACCCAGTGGGAGGTAATTGAATCATGGGGGTGGGTCTTTCTCATGCTGTTCTTGTGATTGTCACAAGGGGAGTTTCCCTGCACAAGCTGTCTTCTCTTGCCTGCTGTCAGGTGAGACGTGCCTTTCACCTTCCGCCATGATTGTGAGGCCTCCCCAACCATGTGGAACTGTGAGTCCATGAAATGTCTGTATTTTGTAAATTTCCAAGTCTTGGGTATGTCTTTATCAGCAGCATGAAAATGGACTAATACAGCTGTGCTGCCTCCAAGGGCTCTAAAGAAGATGTGCTTTTCTTCCTCTTCCAGCTTCTGGCAGCCCCAGGCCTTCCTTGGCTTATAGTCACGTTAGTTTCTGCCTCCGTGATCATATTGCTCTTATTCAGTGTCTCTGGGCACATTCCCTCTGCCTTGCTGTTGTAAGGCTGCTTGTCATTGGGTTTAGGGCCATGCTGATAAGCTAGGATGATCTTTTATCTGAGCATCCTTAACTTAATTATATCTGCAAAGATTATTTTTCCAAATAAAGTAATATTCACAGGTTCCAGGACTTAGGATGTGAACACATCTTTTGGGGGGCTCCTAGTCATCCCCTTACACTCACCATTCCACAAGCTCCAGGCATACATACAGAGTTGCCAATGAGCTTTTGTGCCATTCTCTTAAATATGAACACACAGCTAGGGATCATCAGCATTTGAAGAAAAATGCACAACACAAAAGGACAGGAAATAAAATAATAGAAAAAAGGAAATTGAGGGAATATGAACAATGCAGGGAGTAGAAGAGAACTTTAAAAAACTATATTTGCAGAGATAGAAGAGAAATCATTTCACTTACAGAATAATGGGCCAATAATATTTAAAAAACATTTAGAGGTTAAGGGCTCTTGGAATTAATGTGAAATGTACATTCATTTTAAGAGTAAATTTACATTAGATGTAAAAATATAAGAATATAATAAAGATAAGTGTTTGGAATATACATTTGATGAAATTACCTAGAAAATAGTACAGCAAAATAGGATTGATCCAACATTCAACTATAATAGGAGTTCTATAAAAAGAACAGAGAAATGGAAAGGAAGAAATGAACAAAAATATAAGAAATGTTCCTAGAACCAAAAGACTCACATTGCCAGATTAAAAGATGTGTTGAGACAGGTGCAAGGATGTTCTTTCCAGCATTGTTTCATGGTAGTGGGGAGCTGCAGGCAACTTGGAGGTCCATTACTGGGAAGTTATATAGGTAAAATGTTGGATGTATACCATGGGGTAGTATGTGGCAGTATGTACTGTGGCATCCTATGTAGCACAGAGCGACAAATATTGTGTACACGTGGCATATAAGATATTTTAAGAACACAGGGTTCAGTGAAAAGAATCACTGTGATATGATACCAATTACATAAAATACATGCACACAAAACATACAGTTCATGAAGATACATTCAAATCAAAGGCACATTTTAAATATACTTTAATATTTTTTTTCATTTTTATTTTACTTTAATGATAATTTTATAGCAGGGAGATAGAAGAAGGGTGTGGAGGTAAAAGGGAACAAATGAGTTTAATTAATAATAAAGTGCACACTGAAAGCTCAGCATGAGTAATGAAAAGAGAACACACTAAGGCGAATCATGACATTTCAGAATATCAGGTTAGAAAATGTTCTGAAAGTACCCAGTAATTAGGAAGGAAATAGAGTTCATCTACAAAGAAACAGGAATCAGGATAGCTTTGGGCTTCTCAATGGTAACACAGAGAGTAAGTAACAAGTAGAGAAGTTCCTAAAACTCTCATAAGGAAGATCATTTCCAAGATAGAATTCTATACCTGGCTCAAATACCAATTGTTCTTTAGGATGGAATCACAGTATTTTTCAATACCCATTTTGAAAAAGTTACTGGTGCATGTGAATCACTAAAAATAAGGAAGTAATTGAAGAGAGAGAAGAACGTGATACTCATGGAAACAAGGGATTCAATGGAGGAGAGAAGGAAGGGGAATTGCTTCCCAGGCTGATGAAGGGAAGTCTAGGATGACAGAAGCCTAGAGTATCAAGTGCAGATTTGAGTAGGGTGGCAGAGGCCTCTAAAAATGCTATCTGCAAGAAAACTATAACAGGAATGCATTCCCCCATGTGTATTATTATATTCGAAAGAGATTATGGTTTCGCCGGAACTGTATACAGTCTTATGCCACATAATGACATTTCAGTCAATGACTGATGCATATGCAACAGTTGTCCGGTAAGATTTAGTGGATCTGATAAATTCCTGTGGCTCAGTGACATTATAGCCATCTTAACATCATAGTGCAATGCATGACTGACATGGCTGTGGTGACGCTGGTGTAAACAAACCTGAATTGTCAGTCATATAAAAGTATAACACATACAATTATGTACAGTATATAATACTTGGTAATAAATGACTGTGTTACTGATTTATTTACTTTTAATTGTTATTTTAGAATTTTTTTCTACTTATTCTTTTAAAAAGTTATCTGTAAAACAGTATGAGGCAGGTTCTTCAGGAGGTATTCCAGAGGAAGGCACTGTCATCCTAGATGACAGCTCCCTGTGTGTCACTGTCTCTGAAAGCCTTCCACTGGGACAAGAGGTGTAGGTGGAAGACAGTGATATTGATGGTCCCGGCTCTGTGAAGGCCTAGGATAATGTGCCTGTTTGTGTCTTAGTTTTTAACAAAATATTTTTAAAAGAAAAAAGTTTTTAAAAGGCTTATAGAATAAGGATGTAAAGAAAGGAAATATATTTGTACAGCTGCACAATGTATGTCTTAAGCTAAGCATTATTACCAAAGAGTCTAAGTTAATTTTTTTGTTTATCAGCTAAAGTTATAGTATGCAAAGATTAATTTATTGAAAGAAAAAAAATTTTTTTTTTTTTTTGAGACGGAGTTTCGCTCTTGTTACCCGGGCTGGAGCGCAATGGTGCAACCTCGGCTCACCGCAACCTCCGCCTCCTGGGTTCAGGGAATTCTCCTGCCTCAGCCTCCTGAGTAGCTGGGACTACAGGCACGCATAACTATGCCCAGCTAATGTTTTGTATTTGTAGTAGAGACGGGGTTTCACCATGTTGACCAGGATGGTCTCAATCTCTTGATGTCGTGATCCACCTGCCTCGGTCTCCCAAAGTGCTGGGATTACA